CAGAGGAGATCCCAGTCCTCTCCTCTCCCCCACCCTCTGCAGCCAGCAGCACAGCTTCTGCCATCTCAGCAACTACTAAATAGACCAATTAGCTAAGACTTCCTGCCATTATCTAACGTGGATTTGGACATTAGCGTGCTACTATTTGACCATAATTTCGAGTCAGAATGCACTAAAAAATTCACTCACTGAAGCATTAAAATGTTCCYGGGCAACATCTGTTTTTGTGTATTTGGGCTTCTTCCCTGTGTTTTGCCCCAAACTCACCAGCCTGTAGGCCAGTGTCACAGCCTAGCAGAACTGCCTGTCTGGTGTGACTTTCTCCTCCTCCTGCGGGGGTAGGCGGGTGACAGGTGGATTAGAAAGGTGTGCTAGTGGCCTCTTCAGACTTGCCATGAACACTGTGGAGGCTTTATGAAGTGGCCTTCAATCACTACGTCCCCGGAAGCTGGGCTTTTGTGAGGCACCCAAGCATGGCTAACGGTCTTAAAACCGATGTTCTGTGCAAGACTCACCAGCACTGGAGGTCAGATCTAGGTAGTTCAGAGAGGGCTGGTGCAGCGGCATTCTGACATAGCCCCCACCCCCGTGTGCATTTGTTATCTGCCTTGATCCTGACAGTATGAAGTGAGGGGGCCACGCAGGAGCCTGCAATGACAGTGGGAATCCCCTAGCAAGGAGACAGCCTTCCTGGGCTGAGGGAGCTCCCCAGCATGGCTCAGAAGCTGCTGAGCCCCCTCACCTCTCCCCGTTTGTTTCTCCATGTGGCCCTGAGCTTCCAGTGTGTGCCAGGGAAGAAGTGCGGCCAGGGCTCAGCCCTGGGCCACCTGCTGGGCCCCCTTCTCTTCATGTTCAGGGAAGCTGGGCATAAAGCAGAGATCTTGGTATTGGAGACATTTCTGAAAATAGAAGGCCCAATTGTTTCAGGGTTTCGTGTGTTTATAAGCTGCAGCTTCTCCCTGATTCCTTACCAAGCCCTGTTTGGGCTCAAAGGGCAATATGATGTCCAGGTGTGCAGGGAAAGGCCAAGCAGGAGAGAGCTGGAGGTGGACAAGGCCCACCTGCGGTTTTAGTGTGTGTGTGTGKGGGGGGTGTCTTCTGATGGCTGCATCATAGACTCCCCTTTCCAGACCCCTTTAAATGCCAGGCTCTAGGGTCAATGAGGAGGTCAGCAGATCAAAGGATGGCCCCTGGGGGCTCTGCAGGCAGGGTGAGTAGGGGAACTGATCAGAGCCCCCTCCCCTGAGCTCCTCTTCCGGTGACCCAGGTCTTCCCTTTGAGCCTGCTGCCCCCAGGCTGGGATGCTTACCCCGAAGCGGAGGCGGTTCTGAGCACTGATGTCTGTGGCAGGAACGAACGAGGTTGGGGCACCTCCCTGGGTCCCTACTGGCCCTCCTGCCCCATGGCTCTGAGACTTCTTGTGCCCACTGCCCTGACGTCGGTCACACAACACCCCAGCCTCATTTCCTGAAGGGAAACCTCTAAAGGTTCAGTGGAGATTGGAGTGTGTTGACCACCTTGCCCTCCAGCCACACAGTGCCCCCCTTCCCCTAGGCTCACCTCCTGTTGAGGACAGTTGTGCTGGCCACTTCTCACAGAGGGAAGAAGTTTACAGATGAGGAGTCAAGGGAGGAGACCTGCCTTCTGTCTGTGAYGGTGAAGGTTTTCTCCCAAACCCTAACAGCTTCCCAACTTCAGGTGTGATTGCAGATGAACKGGAATAGATCCTTTTATGCATGTATACACTACTGAGAACTTCCAGGCAGGGAGGGGCCACGATGGGAGCCCCATCAGGGAACCTGGCCTCCCTAGGGAACCTGCTCTAAGGACCAGATTCTGCTACCTRGGGATCCAGGGTTAGGAGCACTGTGTGGAGCAGACTTTTGATCCCTCATTGTGGCCCTTCCCAAGACCCAAGCCCAGATCCAGTCTTCCCCAAAGCCAGCGTGATTGGTTAATACAGATACAGGGAACAGGAAGAGACCCAGTACACATGGTAAACCACACATTGTAAACCACACAAAGACCCCAGACTTCCGGAGCACTCCCTCTCTCCACACTCATCTCTCTCCATACAATTTACAGAGCATCTCCAATGTGTGTTCACCGATTCTCAAATGGAAACAGAATATATAACTACGTTGAAGCCCTGTGGCCCCACAGAGTCCATCTGGCTACCCCAGCTCTTCCAGACAAAGAAACAGTCCATCAAGTCAGGGAGCCTGGATGAACCAAGTTGCAGTCAAATGGGCCCTTGGCATGATCCCTCTGCCCACAGGTGGTAGGGATCAGGTGGGGCTGGACCAGGTGGACCTGCACTTATGGGTGGTCCCAGAAGTGGTTGGAATGGCAAGTGCTATCCCAGGTCCAGACTGGTGTGTGTGTGTGTGTGTTGGGGGGAGGGGTTGAACATGGTTTTTGCAGAAAAGGGTGCAAACAATCCCTCTGGGAGTCATGAGAATTCAGGGTGATTCGGATGAGGAAGTGTGTGGCTTGACCAGTCTACATGGCACCTATCACCAGCTAGAACAACCCTGGCAGTGCCCATTTTAGGTCAGAAAGATGAAAGGAAGTTCTCTGAGATCCATCTTGGGAAATTTCTTCTGCAGACCCTCTCTTCTTCCCTCTTAAAATCCCTCCTCTTGGGACCAACTGATCTGTCCCCAAATGGGGTGATGAGGTGAGGAAAGGCAGTTCAGACTGGGAGCCAAGTCCTTCAGGTGAAGGGGCCAAGACTGCACTCCCCGGGCCCCCAGAGAGAGCAATCCTTATTCTCCAAGGGCTTCYGACCCAGAACAGGATGCTAAGAATCTCAGGCCTCCCCCATGGGAATGAATGGGTGGGAAACAGAACAAATATCCACAGCAGGTAGGCAGCAGGAAGGACCTCTCAGTCCTCCCCAGGCTTAACTATAGGTGAGTCTCCACCTCCTGCAACCTGAACGCTAGAAAATGGAAATGTCTAAAGATCCTTCTTTGGGGCCACAGCCAAAATGAAGGAGATAACTACAGAAAGCACATGGTAGGTATTCAAGACATGTGCTGCTCTTGAGCGTGCTCTTCAAACCCTCTCAGGTAGGACTGCACTCCTATCACCCCAAGACTTTGCATCTAAAGACAGGACAAAAACAGTGGAGATGCTATCTTCTGTTTATCGGTAATTACCTTTGGGAAAGCTATATAGCATTTACCCCGAGCTGCTTCTGCTACCCTCCCAACCTTCCACCCAGTACTGTGTGTCTCAGARTTACCCTGTTATGATGAAAAAGAAATACAACTCATGCCAACAAAGTTGATGTATCAGTTTTCACCTAAGTAAAAACCTAAGTCTTTTGAAGAGAAATTACATGGTCCTTATATTTACTTTTTAAAAAATCCCTCTTGCGCAATCTGACCTGCTATTTTTAAAGTTTGCCTGGAAAGACTTTTCCCTTGGTCCCCACCCTTCCCACAGCCCCTTCCTGTGCTTTTACTCCCCTCTCACCTGCCTAGGAAGCCACAGCTTTAGGAACTGACACTCCCTCCCTTATGCCCTGCCTGTTTGGGAAAGATAACTGTCTAATGGAGCTATTGATCCAGCCTGGTGTTGGTGACCTGTTGACTTCCCAACCTGCCTGTTGATTCTTTAGACGTCCTTAGAAATCTTTTTACTGTAAATATTTGATGTGTGTTTGTGTATTGGGGGGATGAAGTCTGGATTCTCATTCCACTGCCTYGCTCAGTCACGGGAAACCCCTTCTCCCGGGTTTTCCGGCTGTTGCCCGCTTCTCCCTCCCTCCAGCTCCTAGGGGCTAGCCAAGTCAGGAGGGGCCGACTTGGGGATGACTCCCGGCCCGGTGCTTTTTAGCTCAATGGTAGGGGGTGGTCTCCTTCACGTCCATCAGCATCCCTCCGCAGAGAGGAAGAGCTTTGCCAATGTGGTCCCACTCCACGGCCCCTGGATGATGTCTCCAAGCAGATGTGGGTTCTGCAGTCCAAGTGCAGACTCTGCGCTCTTCGCCTTGGCTGGGGTAGGGCTCCCAGCGACCATCTGTGGAAGCCAACTGACGCTCATGTTTACACCCCCAACCCTGGACGCCCACACACCTGAAACGTAGGGGACTTCCCAGAGCAGATAAAAAGATTCAACCTGCTCAGGGTGGGACCCCGACACTCCCCGCCGCGCCTGGAGGCCCTGGAGCAGGAAGAAGCCGGAACCACACTGTCGTCCCTGCGCTTGTCGCGGTCATTTAGCAGAGCAGCCAGATTTGGGCGCAWCGTGGGTGTTCAGTAGCGCACCCGACTCCCGAGGCAGAAGAGGACAAACTAAGAGGCGCTGCGGAGGCCTCGAGGACTAGCCCTGCTGCCTTCGTAAGGCGCGAGGCCAAAATGAGACGAGGTGTCTAGCCACCGGGCACTCACGGGGACCCAGGGGCCACACACGGGAGGGCAGAGAGAAAACRGGGGTTGAGCCTGAGTCCTCCAACCCCAGTCGCTGTCCCCGCCCTGCCACCTCGGCTCAACACCCTGGGCTGTTTAGGACCTGGAGGCGCAGGGGCGGGGCGACAGGCGGCTGGACGGTGACAGGTGCGCCCCTCGGCCAATCGCTGGGCTGGCGCCCCTCCTCGGCCCCCGCCTCGCGCGCCAATCCGAGGCCGCGCTGAGCTTCAAGTGCGCGGAGGGGCGCGGGTCCGCGCCACGGCGCCAGCGGCCTCGGCGCGATAGCCTGCGGGCTGGGACCCAGAGTCGGGCGCCCGGGCCCAGACGCACCGAAGCGGTCGCGTGGGAGTTTGTCCGAGTGMGAGCGCGTGTGAGCGCGGCCCCAGCGGGGTTCGCACGGAGAGGCGCCTGGAATATGATAGCCGTCCGCTGAGTTTCCGGCGGTGACTTCGATTCTTGGCAAATACTCACAATAACCATACCGAGCCCCGGGGCTTGCCACCGTCGGGCACAGACTCCGTGAGCCCGCACACGGCCGCGACGTCCACCACCGGGCCCTGATTGCCAACCCCAAACGAGCAGATGGAAAAATCCAAAAATTTCCGCATCGACGCCCTGCTGGCGGTGGACCCCCCGCGAGCCGCCTCCGCGCAGAGCGCGCCGCTGGCCTTGGTCACCTCACTCTCGGCCGCCGCAGCTGGACCCGGCGGCGGCAGCGGCGGCGGGGCGAGTAGCGGGGCAAGCGGCAGCTGCAGCCCCACATCCTCCGAGCCCACCGCGGCACCCGCCGACCGCCTGCGCGCCGAAAGCCCGTCTCCCCCGCGCCTGCTGGCAGCGCACTGCGCGCTGCTGCCCAAACCCGGTTTCCTGGGTGCGGGCGGCGGTGGCGGCGGCGCGGGCAGCGGGCCGGCGGGGCCCCACCACCACGCTCACCCGAGCGCCGCCGCCGCTGCCGCTGCCGCTGCCGCCGCCGCTGCCGCAGGGGGCCTGGCGCTGGGGCTGCACCCCGGGGGCGCGCAGGGAGGCGCGGGCCTCCCGGCGCAGGCGGCTCTCTATGGCCACCCAGTCTACGGCTACTCCGCGGCGGCGGCGGCGGCGGCGCTGGCCGGCCAGCACCCGGCGCTCTCCTACTCATACCCGCAGGTGCAGGGAGCGCACCCCGCGCACCCCGCAGACCCCATCAAGCTGGGCGCCGGCACCTTTCAGCTGGACCAGTGGTTGCGCGCATCCACCGCGGGCATGATCCTGCCCAAGATGCCGGACTTCAACTGTGAGTACCCGCGCAGCCCTGGCTGCCTGTCGTGCGCATCCTTCTCTACCCCGCACCTCCTGGGTCTCTGCGCTGGGCCCCCAACGAGCTGTGGAAGTGCAGTGAACCGTCTCTGCTCTGCCTCGGGCCTGTGAGGCCCCAAGCGGGTTCCGCGGTGTAGAAGTGGAGGCGAATTATTAAAATGGCCACGGCGAAGGCCTTGCCTTCTCTTCCTCTCTTAACGGGAAGGGGCCGCAGGAGGTGTGAGACTTGAATCTAATGATTAACCTGCAGGCTAGAGGAGAAGGAAGTGGCGAAGGAAGCCAGCMGAAGAGCTCCCTGAATTAGGCAGGCCTGGGAATGGGGGGTCACTGAAACCAGGGGCTTTTCCCTGGGAAAACGAACGTGGCCTGGTCCCCCCTTGCTGGGCTATTGAAAGACCCYCAGCCTCTCCCAGGAGAGGGAGATCCTGGAACAGCAAGAAAAGGGGGCTCCTAGGAGCTCATGGCTGCAAGGCCAGGGCTCAGGCAATCCCCTGGCCCTTGCCCAGGCACTACCCTCCTCCAGAAGAATGCTGGGTCTCCTTGTGATGTCCTGAAGGCCTTGTGTGGGATTCTTAAGCAGCAGGTACCTGCCCCAGAATCGGGGAGCCCATCAATTAGGAGCCCCTCTCCCAGGTGGGAGCAAGCCCAGGAGTCCCTGGGCTGCCTGGGCCTCTTAGCCATCCCCAGGGGGACACCTCCTGAAGGCCAGGCCAGGTTCTGGCTTTACTGGCAATCAGGACTCAGTGGGCAGGCACTCATCTCAGGCTCCCCTGCTTGGCATCCCACCTGGGTAGGATGGCTTAGAGTTAGGCCAGAACAGAAGATGTATATGGCTTTATGCTTTCAGCCGCCAAACACCCAAACAAAGAGACCCCATTGTTTCCGTCTGAGTGGATTTGTTTAGACTGGGGGATGAAGGCACAAGAGGGGGAAAAGCAAAAGAGAAAACAGAAATAAACACTTGCCAGGATTCAGATTCCTCTGTTAGAAGCCATGGTTGTGACTAAACAGAAAAGCCAGGACCCCAGAGGGCTGGAGAAGTCACAGGGGGGTGAGAGAATCCAGCCTGCTGTTTGTCCWCAGCACCCCCACCACGTTCCCCAAGCGTGGCTCCCAGAAGGCCTTACTGACCACCCATCCCTGTCTTGAAGAATCAGCTCCTACCTGAAAAGAAGGGGAAAGCCTCTTCCTCACATCAGGGGGAGGGCTGAAGCTCAGATATCTCAAACTGCTGGTCCTGCCCATTAGGCCCAGGGTACMCTCTGGGTCTGGACACTGAGCCCAGCAGATCCCATCTGATGCAAAGCCACCCATGGCTTTCCTGTAGCTTTATGACCTGCATTGCCCAAAGCCTGGGGTTCTGGTTGTCCACTGAGCAAGGCCTGGTCTCCATACAGGCCTCCTGGAGCATAGGTTCCCTGGCCACCCAGGTGCTTTCTGGGCCTTCATGGGACCTAAGGTCAATTAAAATGGAATTCCCTTGCCAACACACCTCATCATCTCTAATTCCTAGTCTTGGTGAAATTAAACACACAGCCAGTTCTAAATTTGGAAAAGGAACCCCAGCTCCATGATCCTGAAGGGCAATAAGAAATGCAGGCTAGGAAAATAGTGTTCCAAGAGGCTCCCCTCTGGCCTCTGGACCCTGCCTGGGTTCCTTTAGCTGGTTGTCTCTGCCCATGGGATGGCACTTCCTAAAGGGTCCCTTCCAGCCAGTGTTTTAATTAAAGTTCTAATGTCTTGTCAAGTTGGGAATTCGCCCTTGTTTAACTAAAGCAGGGGGCGTGGGCCTGCCTATAAAGCAAATTGCCCGTCCCCGGGGAGCCTGAGCTCATCCCAGCCGGGCTGGCCTCTTTTCTTTCCTTTGCTTTCTTTCTTTTATTGTCTAACACTTGTCAGACTCCTGGGAAATCAAGGGAAGTCTCGTTTTGAGGTCATAAAATTCTCTGTGATGTAACCGTGAGAAATTATGTAAATAAAGCCGACAGGCCTCTGGAACACACAGCAAGCCACCCACCCACGCCTTGGCCTTTAATTTGGGTAATGAGAATTATCCTGAAAAGGCTTCCAATCTCCTCTGGCTTTGTCCCCTGCAGCTGAGGAGGGGGTTGTCAAGAATACTTGAAGCAGGGAGGGTCCTTAACGAACACAATATCTAGGTCCCAGGTTTGGTCTCTTCCCATCGTTTCTCCCTCCCTTTTTTTTTTTTTTTAAATTTTTGTTTTGTTGTTATTGGTTGGCTTTGGCATTCTCCTGTTCTGTTTTAAGGAGGTGGTGGTGGGAACCCTGCACCCTCAGGACCCCCTTCTCTTCAAACCGGTGTGGATTTGGGCAGTGAGAACAGGGAAGGAGGGGGGTTCCCCTGGGCCCTCTTCTCTCGCCTTCTGGTCAACCCTCTTCCCACCAACCTACCCACTCGGGCAACAGGCTTTGCCCCAGACAAAACGATTGGGTCTAGTTAAACCCAGTCCCTGCAGTTCAACCGGGGGTCCTGGGTCCCTTCTTCCTTCGGAGTGGGCACTGAAGCGAGGGGCGAGCTCCGGCTCCGCTGGGCGGGCACTTGGCGGTGGGGCCTGGGGGGAGGGATACGGCAGCCGTCTGAAGGAGCGGCAGAGGACGGGGCGGGCCGCGGCCTCACACCTGCTCGGTCCTCAGCCCAGGCGCAGTCGAACCTCCTGGGGAAGTGCCGCCGGCCGCGCACGGCCTTCACTAGCCAGCAGCTGCTGGAGCTGGAGCACCAGTTCAAGCTCAACAAGTACCTGTCCCGGCCCAAGCGCTTCGAGGTGGCCACCTCGCTCATGCTCACCGAGACCCAGGTGCGCCGCCTACCCACCGCCCTAGCGCGTCCTGGGCTCCCGGGGCTGCTGTCGCCTCTGTTGTCAGGGGGATCTAGGACCGTGCCTCTTGACCCCAAGGGTGCGGACTGTGAATTGAAAGTCCGGCGAGGCTCCCCATTAGCAGGCGAGTCTCTGCCCGCGATAGGCGTCTGTTCCAGTAGGTTGGGGCGAGGACCCAGATCTGCATTTAACTTCCCTCCGCTCCCCATTCTCAAGCGAGTGTTCCGCGGGTTTTGTCCCAGAAAGAGAGGAGGGGACATTCTGAGATTGTATTAAAGAGACCTGCCCCGCTGCCCTGACCTCTCTGCAGAATGCTGCGAGGTAGAAAGTGGCTGGCCCGGGGAGGTGGGGACACCTATAGTCCGAGCTTCCCTGGGCCCCCCAGCCCCGCTCTGGGTCTGCTGATGAGTAGGGGAGGGGAGGAACAGTTGGGAGCCTCTGCTGGTCCGAGGTTCCCCAKACCCTGGAGAGGAGACTGGGGACGGAGGTGCGGGTTTCTCACGCCTGCTTCTGCTCGCAGGTGAAGATCTGGTTCCAGAACCGGCGGATGAAATGGAAGCGCAGCAAAAAGGCCAAGGAGCAGGCGGCGCAGGAGGCCGAGAAGCAGAAGGGCGGCAGCGGGGGCGCCTGCAAAGGCGGCGCCGAGGAGAAGGGCGAGGAGGAGGTGCTGGGGCCGCCGGCGTCTGGGGACAAGGCCAGCGGCCGTCGCCTGCGGGACTTAAAGGACAGTGACCCCGAGGAGGACGAAGACGAGGACGACGAGGACCATTTCCCCTACAGCAACGGCGCCAGCGCCCACACCGTCTCCTCCGACTGCTCCTCGGAGGAGGACTCGCCGCCCCCGCGGCCGGGCGGGCACCAGCCCCCGCCCCAGTAGGAGTCCGCGGCCGGCGCCCACCCTCCTCGGACCAGCAGTCCGTCTGCGCCGGGCCTGGGGCTTCCCTTCTGGGTCAGGGCGTTCTGACAGYGCTAGGGAGACCCGGCGGCTCCAGGTGGAACCGTGGTTCTGTTAATTTTGGGTAGTGTTGGCGGGAGGTGTTTGGGAGGCCTCCCGTCTCCCGCGTCTGAGAAGGCGGAAACCGACAGTGTTAAATGACCTCTGAAACTTGAAACCTTCTCTGGAAATGCCATTCTGATGAGTATTGGAAAGGGTTTTATGCTGATGTATCTTATGGGGAGAAACGTGTGCCATGAGCAAACTGCTGGAAATTTCAGAACTGTACTGTCTTTATTTTTGTATATTGTATTTATATATAWAGAAAGAACCGTCTACTTATGCATGCTAAATTATTATTTAGCTTCTCCCATCGCCCAGGATGGAATGTAAAATAAAATGGTTTTCTACTTGATAAGAGTGCAGCTCTCTGGGGCAGTCTCACTGCCGCGGTTGCGGGGAGGGGAGGTTTCTACCCCAGAACTGACAGCAGAGTGTGTGAATCGGAAGCACAGTGGCTGTCAGCACCTGAGACCCAGTGGGACCTGACTCTGGTGGGGAGTGGGCAGAGGGGTGTCCCAGGTGTGAAGTGTGGGTAAAGTTCCGAGGCCAGGTGTCAGAGCGCTGGTGCTGATTCACCCCTGTCCTTGGCACATCTGGGTGTGYGTACTACCCTATTCCCTTGGTGGTTCAGAAATGAAACTACACTGAATGTTTTGGAAAAGAAGCTTCAAATGAGAGACTGGTACATGGGGGTCGGCCCAGCCCTAGGCACTACTGAAGCGTATTTCCCAGAATGCTCTGACTTGAGCAGCGCCTCTCTTTCTCCTCCACCCCGGCCTGCCTTCCCTGCAGGCAGACCATTTCTTGGGCTGGCCTGGAACGGTTTTCTTGGATCTGTGCGAATGTCCGAGAGGGCAGCCGCAGGCTGCAAGAATGCTGCTGGTCAGGACTGCCATGGCTATGGGTTAATAAACCCTGCAATGTGTGCCATCAATCAAGGGCCAGCCGCCCGCTGGCCATGTGCTGCACACATGCGGGCCCAAGCCAAGGCCCACGGGACCTTGCGCTGTCCCTCCCTGCCTGGACGCGCAAGCCGGCCGCCCAGCGGACCGTGCTGGTACTCGGTTCCTGCTGCTGACCCTGTGGGCTCATCTAGGGATGCCGCAGGAGCCTTCCTTCTGTGGGTCACTTTCTCACCTGGGCCTGGGCCTGGGCCGCAGCCCCTCCCGCCTCTCCCTGCCCTTTCCCAGCTGATGGATGAGTTCAGAGGGCCTGGCGTTTCATTTGGGTGATTACCGCGGGGTGCATGGGGCACTCAGTACCTCAGAGCCGGGCGAGATTAATATCCTCCCTGGCAGCTCATTATCACCCCGGGCTTCTGCGTCCCACCCGACGGCGGGGCGGGGGCGGGGGCGAGGACAGCGAGCCAGGCCGAGCCGCTGCTGCACGCACGCGCCCGGCCGCGGGGCTTCGGCTGCCTTGGGGTCCACWGTCGCTTTGGGGGACTGGGTTTGCGACTGGTGGGGAAGGTTGAGGGCCCGCGGAAATGGAGGGGGAAAGTCAGAGGGCAGCGGAGGGGAGAGGGCGGACGTCTTTGGGGGTTAAAAAACGGCAACCTGTACACGTCTTCGTTAATCTCTACCACATTGGCAGGTCAGCCTGAAGCGATCTCCTCTCTGGCGGCTCCACATCTGGGGGTTATTTCCCYCCAGCTCAGCCGCCCCCAACCCAGAGAAGCCAGGAAAGCGGGGCCGGGCTTAGAAAGTGGTTCAACATCCGGCCCTGGGACCCCGGGCGGGGGTCCCAGCCAAGGTTTTGTCCCTCTACCCCAAGGCAAGAGCGGCCCTGGAGGGAGATGGGTCGCCCAGCCCCCGCCCGTCCTCCTGCCGAGCAAGGCCGGGTTTGGCGCGGGACCGGCCAGCGGCCCAGCTCCTGCAGCGCCGCTTTAATCGCGGCGGAATTTATCTCGCTAATAAATTTAATGATCAATTCGTTCTTGTCACAGTAGCTCTTCCCCAAATCAATTATAGCAAATTTAAATATAATCACTGGCTCGTCCTCACCCACTCCGGGCACGGCGCACAATTCATTCCGCCTAATGAACGCCGCCGGCCCCGCTCCGCCTAGCTCCAGGGCGCGCCCCCATCCAGGCAACGCGTGCCGCGTCCGGACCTGGCTGGGCCCGGGGCGGGCCGCCTCCGTACCTGGCCTCCCACCTGGAACCGCACCGCGCCTCGAGATGGCCCCGCGCTCAGGAGGTCTCTGCAGCCCCACGGCGGCTCCCCGACCGAGCCATCCGGTCTAGGCCGAGGGAGCCCAGAGGGTGGGGATTCCAGGCTTTGTTCCCAGGCCGCCCCACCTCCCCTCGGAAGCCCTTCGGCTCCTCYGTCCGTGGACTGTGCGGTCTCTCTCCACCCTAGACGCCAGCCTGGTGCGCTGCCTTGGCACTGAGATGCGGGGCCAGGAGTCCTATGGAAGGCACTGTCCAACGCTGACCCAACCAGGGGAACCCCAGCCCGGACCCTTGCCCGAGGAAGGGACCGACCTATTGGTACAGGGTTTTGTTGTTGTTTGTTAGTTTTGTTTTTGTTTTTTTATTCTCATGAGAGGTTCTAACAACAGTACGTGGGTAAAGTCCTCCTAACTGGAGAAATCATCTACAGGTCCCCTCCAGACAGTGCAGGGTCACCCTCCCGCCCAGCCCCTGGTGAGAGGACATCCAGGGAAACAATAGGAAGTAGAGGAGATGGCCCCAGGTGGCAGTCAGCTTGGAAAGAGGACTGAGGCTGTGACCCCAAAGCCCAGACAACAAAAGCAAAAATAGACAAATGCAACTACATCAAACTGGACAAGCTCTGTGCCACCGAGGGCAGCCCAGGGAGGAAGAAAGCCTCTGCAAACCATATCCATGTGATGATTGGCATGGAGCCTGTGAAGAACTACCACAGCAAAACCAAAGGATGCGGCTTCACCCAGCACCGAAGAGGAGAGAGACATTTCTTCAAAGACCCACAAATGGCTAAAGAGAGTAGGAAGAGATGGTCACCAGGGAAACGCCAATCAAAACCTCTGAGATCCCACTTCAGGAATTCATTAGGGTGGCCAATTAAAAAAAAACAATGACACATAATAACAAGTATTTCAAAGATTTGGGGAAGTCGGAGCCCTGGTGTACTATTGGTGAGAATGTAAAATGGAGCAGCCGTTAAGGAAAACAATATAGAGGTGTCTCAAAAACTGAAAAATAGAACCATCCTAGGGTCGGGCAGTGAGCAGTCCCGGTTCTGGTATAGATCCAAAAGAACTGACGTCAGACTCCTGGAGGACCGGTCAGGTCACCACACAATGGCCGTCAGCAGGTGGGCAGGTGGGCAGGTGGGCAGGTTGGTAGATGTGCACAGGGGAGCAGATTCCGCTTCAACTGAAGGAACACTTGTCACAAAGTAAGCCACCACCTGGAGGAGTGCGAGGACGTCGTGCGAAGTGAAACCAGCCAGTCCCAGATCAATGCTACCTTTCAGAGCGGCGTCCAACCCCTGGAGAGTGGAAGGGTGGCCGCCTGGGGCCCTGAGGAGGGGATGGGGAGCTGGTTGAGTGGGGCGTGGGCAGGCGGCAGGCTCCGGGATCTGGGGCCCACCGGGCAGCTTATAGTCAGCCCGTGCGCTGGGCGCCTGAAAACGGCCACTGCTGTTTTCACGGGTTTTCTTTCTTCCTTTCTTTTTCATTTTCTCCCCCCCCCACACCCCCGCAGCGCTGGGGACGAACCCGGCGCCGAGCGACGGTCCCAGTCCTCAGAGGTTTCCTCTCCTCCCTCCTTCTTCCTCCCTCTCCCCTCCCTCTCCGCTTCTCCTTTTCACTCCTCACAAAGGCTAAACCTGCGGTTCCCGGGAGGGAGACCCCGGCCCAGCGCCTGCGGGTGGGCCTCTGCAGAGCGGATCTGGCTGGTTCCGCGGGGCACCCCGGGCACACGGGTTAACGAAGCCGGCGGACTGCGCTGTCCCCCAGGGACACAGGGTCGTTCTCGGGCCGACCTCGGGCCGGAAGTCCTCAGGACGCGGGGGCTGGCCAGGTGGGGACCCCAGGGTGGGAGAGGCCTCCAGACGCACTGAGGGGAGGTTGGGTGACCGTGGAGAGGGGACCCAGGGACCTCTGGGGGTCAGCGCAGGGCGTGGGCGCCGGAGAAGGGCGCTCCCCGGCCTGGGTGTCAAAGTCCTGCGGGGCATTGTGTCTCCCTCAATAAAACCAATCCCTCTGGAGGTGTGACCGCCACCCGGCAGGCCGCAGTGTTCCGACTGCAGGGCGAGTGTTTTTCAGATTTGGCTTTTATGGTCGGATTAAAGTTTATTTTCCATAATAGGACACCTAATAAAACGCACAAGGCCGGGCCGGGCCTCCAGCTGTGGCCTCGTTTAACACTCGCACTTCGTAAATCTCCCCAGGACGCGCAGGTGTGCGGCGCGCGGGCGGCGGCCGGCGGCGACCCGGGAGCTCGGCYCGCGGCTGCCGGGCGGGCGCAGCGAAGGGCCGCGAGGAGCGGGCGGGTCCGAGCCCCGGGCAKCGTCCCGGGGGCTCCCGCCCGCGCCCGGCCCCGCGCCGACCCCGCATTCCGCTGCCCGCGCACCTGCCGCCCCGCCCCGTGTACACACCGGGCCGGACAATGTGCGCTCCTCCGGGCCATTGTCCCCGGCGGCGCTCGGGGCGGGACAAAGAGAGATCCCCTCCCGCGGCCGCGGCGAGGGCGGGCGCGGTTTACCCAGCTGGGGGAGGAACAAAGGCGCGCGCCTTATCTCCCCGCCGCCCAGAACTCCGCGCAGCGCCGCTCGGGGTCAGACSGGGGGCGCGGGGCGGGACCCCTGGGTGCCACCTGAGCTGTCCCTGCCGCCGCTCGTTCCAGGAAGCSGTGACCCCACGGGCTTTCCAGTCCCTAGGGCCTCTTCGCG